TCGATTATCACTTTATCATGCGAGAGTATAAAATGTTCGGTGACACCCGAACTTAGCCCTTCCTTATTTGTTTATTTCTTTTTTCAACCCTCAATTTGCAGAATTTCACTTTTCTGCGCTCTTTCACTTGGCGTTTATGTAGAAATCAGTCTGTGTAGGGTTTCAATGCATGGAAGTTTCGTAGTAAGCACGTTTTAATATGTGTTTGTATGTATATATGTATGTGTGTATATGTCCTAACATTGAACTGGATCCTATTTGGATTCAGTTTTAAAGATGGTGCGATATACATATACACCGCTTGAAACAGCACAGGTTACGTATACGCAGTGGTGCGTTATATTTTTTATTACTCGCTACGGAGAAGTTGTTTTTAATTAGCTGAAGAAAAATGTTTAGTTCTAAGTTAAATTCACATATATTAATTGAAAACATTTTATTAAACACAAAATTACGAGCGTGTATTAATTTTACAAATTCATATTGAGATATCTTAAATTTCGAACCGAATTTTGATCTTATGAAAAGCATAAAAAAGTTATTTAAAGTGTTACCAACTATCTGAAAGCAAAAACTATTGATCAAACTTATTTTAGAAATATAAATTGAAAGCTCTATAGTTTTAAATCAAATATAGAGGAGTTAAAAAAAAAATTCAAACGTATACATAAAGTGAATATTATTGCCAACTATTTAAAAAAAAAAGAATTGAAAAGTTTTGAATTATTTGGTGGATTAAAAATGAAAAAAATTAAAAAATTGTATAAATTAACATTGAGATATACAAACCGAATATAGGTCGGATGAAATGATAATGAGCTGGAAACCATTTTTAATCACTTAATTTCCTTTTAGCAACTTGAAAATTTAAATTTTAGACTTCCTTCTGCCCAAAGATAAAGATCTGCAACTCTTTTAAATAAAACTTTATTGTGCTTAAAGCGAAATGATACATATTTATAAATAATACTTAATAAAAAACTTTTTARTGACTCAGTATATTATTCAACGATTAAAATTATATAAGTGATATATTTTATTTTATTTAAATTAAAATACTTAATCTTAACTAATTACATGTTTTAAGATCGATAAATAAAAGATGTGTATAAGAGACAGGTATATTATTCAACGATTAAAATTATATAAGTGATATATTTTATTTTATTTAAATTAAAATACTTAATCTTAACTAATTACATGTTTTAAGATCGATAAATAAAAGATGTGTATAAGAGACAGGTATATTATTCAACGATTAAAATTATATAAGTGATATATTTTATTTTATTTAAATTAAAATACTTAATCTTAACTAATTACATGTTTTAAGATCGATAAATAAACATTCCAAAAGAAGCAAAATATTTCAAAGTCATTGCAAATGTCGTTGTAAATGTATTTGCTACGCCAATTTTGCTCTTCATATATTTTTTTTTTTTTGTAAACTTAATACTCTGACTTTTCTCATGGACACAATTACTAAATAACAATTCATGAAAATATGTATTGCAAATTAAATTACTGCAGTATTTGGCTTACACATACGTATGTATATTTATATTACCGGTTTCTTTCGCGCAGCTGCAGCATCCGCTAGCACTGGCGGCAAATGGTCACTCTACAGCATCATTCATCATTCATTCAACGGCGGCGGCCGGCAAAAAATATACACACATCTTTGCATATTTACAAAATTTCACAGACATTTAGATTTGAATTACAATGCGCCATCAATCATGACCTGCTGTGCTGCTTTTTCAAAGATCCAACTTCTGAATGCAAGCAGACATCGAAGAATCGACTTGATTCCAAATGGATGCAATTCGGGAAAGCCATATAGCTCTGAGATACAACTCTTGGAAAAATAAGGCAGCATTTAACAGAATTATCAAAGAGCTGGAAACTAAAAGACATGTAGACTGAATAGAACATGAAACAATTCAAAAAATAATGTAGGCCTAATTTTTAATCTGCTCCTCCTCTATTTGAATCTTTATTATATTATAAAGAATATCTATTTATACGCTATAGCACATCAAAAGCTTAAAATGAAATATCACATAAACAATAGAGACTCCTAAAGCTGAGGAGCTGAAAAAAACTTCATAGTACATATCTTTCTTGCCCGAGAGTAGAGAACAGGTTGGTTACTAAAAGTAAGTAAGTGAAAATTGAAGCGAAAATATAATAAAAGATTTGCTTCCAGCTATATTATTCTAGAGCCTGTTTTAATAGATTCGCGTATATATAGATAGATTGGCATGGCTAAATCAACCTAATTCATCACGCTGATGTTTTACAAATATCGCAACAAACTTAATGGTACAAACTAAATGGTATATTTTCATATAAAAATCAGCTATTCTAACCAACTGCCTTCTGTCGACTTTTTTTTTTGCGGGTGAGAGGGTGGAAAAAGCCTTCCGCATCATCGGTGCTATCGTCACAGCAGCGGTGTGTGCCACTTGCAGGTCACTAAAAACCCCCCCTCTAAGGAACCGTCGCCCACCCTGAGACCGCGCTTGAATTACTTCAGGGTGGCGTTCCATTTTTCTCATTGAGAGATTTACATCTGYRCACCTGCGTCCAGGTCCCGCTTTTTGATGCGTAGCAAGAATGCTGCGTAATCCCCCAGTTTGCTTCGCTCTTCAACATGACGTCGATTAAATTTTCAGCGTTTATTGGGCCGACAATGTCTTCTACGGCGGTGCGTTCTCTTTGCCAGCGCTCACATTCGAAGAATRTGTGTTCAGCGTCGTCTTCTGTCGCGTCATTGTATAGGCATGACGGCTCTTCGACTTTTCCCATCCTGTAGAGGTACTTTTTGAAGTATCCGTGGCCGGAAAGCAGCTGGGTTGTTTAAAAGTCTACTTCTCCGAATTTACGGCTTGTCCATGCATCTAGATCTTTTATCAGCCCGGCCGTCTATCTGCCGCGACTTCCATTCTCCCATCTTTGTTGCCATCATGTTATGGTATTTTTCCTTATTTGTTGTATTGCGCTCTTGTTATTGCCCGGTGATTTCTTTAGCTCCCACAGCTTTTTCCTTTCATATGCTAGAAGGTCGATTGGAGCACTGCCGCTTATAACTAACATTGCATCGCCTGACACTGTTCTGTAGGCTGATGCGACTCTGAGGGCTGCGGTGCGGTACACCCTGGCCACTGCCTTACGCCGGTTTTCCTTTATAAGCGCGTCTGCCCAGATTTCGGCTCGGTATAATAGGACGTTGTCGTTGACATAAGGAGCTTTCTCTTCTCTTGCCTGGGGCCTCCTATTTAGCCATTAATCGGCTCAGTTGGGAAGTGATCTTCGCTGCCTTACCTGCAGCGTGCTGGATTTGTACCCAGAAGGTTAGTCAAGGGCCCAGTCGTACGCTTAGCTAGTTTACTGCTTTTTGTGTCCTAAGAATATCCGTAGTCGTGTGCATGCATATCTCGAGAGGTATGTGCTTTTTTGTTAGCAGTAGTAGCTCTGTTTKCTCCGTAGTGAGCTGGAGGTTGTGTGTGTCGAGCTATTCTTGCGTCCGTATCATGACCTGGTTCAGCTTTCTTCGCGCTTCTTCTGTATCCCTCGCTGTGATTACTGCTGCAATGTCGTCCGCATAGCCAATTAGATACGAGTCATCTGTCATTTCCAGTTTTAATATTTCATCGTAACTGATGTTCCACAGGTATGGGCCTAGAATTGATCCTTGTGCTGCCACTGACGTGACTGCTATCTGTCGTGGTYCCTCTTTAGTTTCGTACAGCAGTTTCCTGTTACTTAGGTAGCTCCGCACCAAAGCCCTGAAATAGTCGGGCATCTTGAAGCTTTTCTCGAGGGCATCGATCATATTTACCCATCTAGCGCTGTTGAAGGCGTTTCTGACGTCTTTATATTTAAGCCATCTGCGCTGCAGGGTCTAAAGCCGTGTTGTCTAGGGGACAGTCCTCCAGCTTCGTTGATAGCCGCAACGAGTCTGGGTTTAAGTAGGCTTTCGTACAGCTTTCCCGCTTTGTCAAGCATGCATAATGGACGGTATGCTGATGCCCAGTTAGGGTCTCCTTTTCCCTTACTGATTAGCACCAGCCGTTACTTTTCCCAGGGTACATATTCCTTAGGACTTCTGGGCACTCTGCTGCGATTATTTTAAGGACTTCTGTTGCGATCTCATCCGGRCCGGGTGATTTGTTGGCCGTGAGCTTRCCAGTGGCTACTTGCAGCTCTTCACGGGTAAACTGAGAGATTTGCGCAGTACTTAGAGTTTGTTCTGGCTCCCTGGCGCTTATTTCGCGTGTGGAGAATAGTGCGTTCGCGATTAGATCCATTTTGGCAGCGGTTACGTCAGGTGGCTTTGTTCGAGCGACGAGCKTTTTCATCACTATTTTATACCCTAGCCCACAGGGGTTTCTGTTTATATTCTCCCGTAGTTCCTCCCATTTTCTCTTTTTACTGTACGATGGCGTGCTTCAGCTACTTTTTTGCTGCTTTATTTTGCTCGGATTCTTGGGGTGCGTCTCCTCTACGCCTAGACCTCGTGAAGAATCTGCGGAGGCGGAGGCATGTGCGTCTGAGCTGAGCGATATTTTCAGTCCACCAGTAAACTGCTGCTTTACGTTTGCTGTGGGAAGGCTTGGGCATTGATTATGGCAAGCTTTGGTTATATTAAGCATTGTGTGCTCGACTGTTTTTCTTGCTATAAGGGAGGGGTCGCTAGATGGGTTCAGCTCGTCTATTGCGGCGATTAATTTCGATGTGTCTAGTTTCGAGATGTTCCACTTTCGAGTTCCGATATTTTTTCTGAGCTGGCAGCCGTTTCCTCCAGTGTTTATCATGAAAGAGATGTAGTTATGATCGCTGCCGGTATAATCCTCCGGGACTTTCCAATTATTTATTGAGCCTGCCATGCGTTCTGTTGATAGGGTGATGTCTGGTGTGGTTTCTTCGCATCCCGGTTTTCTGAACGTGGTTGCATTTCCCATATTGAGCACTATTAGACCTATCCGCGCAGCCATTTCTAAAATTCGCTTTACTCTCGAGTCGGTGTTTGGCATTCCCCACTCTAATGCTCTGGAGTTTAGGTCTCCGGCGATAATCAATTGACCTTCTATAGTCCTGGCTGTGTCCTCTATATTGTCGAGCTTTTCTTGGAACTCCTGTATGCTATCGCTTGGCATMAGGTAGCAGCTAATTACTGTAAAACGGTCGCACTTGGCCCAGACGAAACCTTTGCCGTTCCCCTTACTAACAGTGGTGGCGCTACTCCATGGTGGTAACCATGTAGCGGCGATTGAGCTGTTATCTTTTAACCATGTACCTCTCTCTTTCTTTTTATATTGCTCGCTTATGATGATAATCTCGTAGTCGTTCTCCATCACCATTTGCGAGAGTAGTGCGTCAGCGGCCTTGCATCTATGCATGTTGGCTTGAGGGTTCATCTGTTTCGGTAGTTTTTATAGACCATACATTTTGCGGAGCCCGGGATGTGATAGACTTTTTCGTGTCTAGCCTCTTCGCATAGACAGCATGAAGGAGGCTTTGTGCACTCTTTCATTTTGTGCCCTGGTTTGCCGCATTTTATGCAAACCCCTTGTCCTCCTCTATCAGGCCCTTTGCAGTCCCAGGTTAAGTGCCCTGGTCCGAAGCAGCGGAAGCACCTTTTGGGGGTTTCTTTTAGCAGCAGTCTGCAATTAATCCAGCCTGTCGCATCAGGTTGTCTGCCCTATCCTAGTCCAGCGTTATGTATGCCCTTACCTGCTCTCTTGCGTTAGGAGCTGTTATATTGATTGATAAGTTCGTTATATTGATTGATAAGTCTTCAGTCAGGTCATGTATCTCTTTTTTGACAGCCCCTGCTACTTCCTCTTTTGTTGTGAGCGAGTCGAGGTCTCTGACCTCTATGGTAGCCTTAGTTTTTAGGTCGGCCACAGTTGCAGTCTCTTTRAGAGTGGACTTAAGTGCCTCGCAGAAGCTGGCTTTTGTGGGCTGTCCCTTCTCTAGCTCTATTAATAGGGCCCCGGCTCTTGTTTTTCGGATCCCCTTGATCTTGACCTCTGCTTCTTTAAGATCTACCTTACTTCGGACATTCTTGAGGACTTCGGCGTAGCTGTTTCCTTCTGATGGTTTTATTATAACGGCCTCTGTTTGTCGTTTAGGCCTATTATTTCCTTTCAGGCTTGCAGCGATGTTGTTGGCTTGTTGCCTCTTGTTTGCGTTTTGGGGCGCTTCTTCCCTCGCTCCTTCGTTTTTGAGTTTTTAGGCAAAACTTTTTGAAACTGTCCGTCGTTTTCGTGTCGTGGTCGCACTGTTTCTCGCGGCTCCACAGGGCTTGTCGCACGGCGTTTTGAGGTTGCTGACTCGGGGGTCGTGATGCGTCTGCTTAGATGTGCTCGCCTTTTTTCGTTTTCTGCCGTGAGCCAGTTTCTGTGATAGCTCTTTATGACTTCGAAGAGTTCGTCTAGCTGTGCCGTTCCATTCTTGACGTCCATGTTGTTTTGCCATTGCCAACTTCATTTTTTGCAGGATGCCCCTGCACTTTTCTAGGGATTCTTCTTCTGCTTGTCTCATTTGGGTATTATACTCTTGTTTCGGCGAGTTTTGAATTCCTTCTTTGGTGGCAGCTGGGGTGCCCTTCCCTTCGCCTTGTTTTTCCGGTGCTGCTTGTGTGTCTCCCTTGAGGCTGTCTTTTCTCCAATTTTGTCTGGCTGTCTTGGAGTGGCGATGAGTACGGGGGATCTGAGGACCCTGCTGCTTCTACGGAAGACTTTCCCGTATTCCTGTTCTTGACCATCTTTGTTCAGTTTTTCTATCTGTTGGGTTTTTTGTTGTTGATGCGGTGTGTTAATTTTTTTTCTCTAGTGGGTCTCCGCTTCAAGCCGCTATATCCGCACGTTGTAACAGTCGCCCTTAATGAACCCCGTGGTTATCTATGCAAACAGGGAGGCCACGCGGGGGTTGACACAAGTCCTTATGGGAGTTTGTGTTCAGAGCCAGGTTCGGGCACGGATCAGGAGCTCGTCTCAACTGAACCTGTACGGCCAAAGAAATTTTTGGCGACGTGCATTGAACGTACTTGAAGATCTGCCAATGTTTTAACGAGACGGAGGTGAGAACAGTATTAGCCTGCCAGCCATTTCGGTAAGTTGTCACTGCTACCTACTGAGGTGACAGAATACTACTCTCCCCAGCCCTTTGTCAATCTGATCCGTATCGGTWTTCCAGTACACCATAATCAGAATTTTACTGGTCTCAATTCTGATGGGCTCTTGCCCAGGGTTTTTGTCGTCTTCTGTTCCCTCGTCGCTTTGTTGTCTCCATCTCTTGGGTAGATTCTCCCTCGGTGCAACCCCGGTGAGGGTTGTAGACGCTTATTTTAAGGCGACATCTTCTCGCCTCTTCGCGSGAGGTTCATTGGGCGCGTGAGACGTTTTGAGCCAAGCCCTCCTCTCCTGCAGCTCTTGGTCGGGGGCTACGTATTAATATTCGCAGCTAACCTACTTAGCGTAGGCCGTCCACTATCCGCTAGCTGTAACCCCGGTAGTAGCCTGAGCTCAGCCTTACCAYCTTCTGTCGACTTAACCWCACTTTTCAGAGACGCAACTACATGTAGTGTTACTGAAATTTCACCACAAACTACCATTTCCTAACCTCAAAGCTCTTTTTGTACGCATACTGTATTTCAGTTTGGTTTTCCTAAAACAAATGAGAGTTCAAAAGTCACATCGAAATAATTACGGTCGCTGATAACAAAGCATCATTAGTAAAGAAATATGTATTATATAACTATAAAAGTATAAAGTATATGAAAAATTGAACGCCAAGAAAATCGTTATTGCCCACAAGGCGCTTTGATAACTTATAAGTTCGAAATACAGGAGTTATATTTTTATGGCTTCACAAAGCCCTGCATACAAAAATGATTTTTCAACCCAAATAGTCTCAAATGTGACAGTGCGAAGGACTAACATTTGATTTGGCACTCAGCGGAAGGAAATTGCTCAAATATTAGAGCATCCTTACAGCATACGTGCAAGTTCATGCTTGYCTGACAATGTGTGAGCAATAAATAAGTGATGACCGCTGTCCTTTCGGTGCGCAGCTCCAAACATGCACGAAAGTCGCTTAGCGCACTCGATTTGGCTGATATAATCAACGAATAAAATAGAAATAAAAGYTACATAAAAATAAAATAAAATAAAAATAAACTGAATTTCAGCTAAATCTGTTGCAAATAGATATACATTTATAATATTTGACGCTGATTAGGTCTATCAGTTGAGGAAATTATCAGTTGAGGTTAGTTTTTTCTAATAGTGCAGAAAGTTACTACAACCCCCTTTACAAATACAAAAGATTATTTACAATAATTCCACTTAGATTTTTCAGTTTGCATGGCAGCTATTTAAGTGATCCGATCTGAACAATTTATTCAAAACTTAGACCATTATCTTAAATAATATTCCATGCAAAATTTCGGGAAAATATCTCTTCAAGTAAAACAGGTTTCCGTACAAGGACTTGTTTACTATTTTCAATTCGTATGGCAGATATAAAATATAATGTTCGCTATTGACGGTTACGAGAAGTAAGTAGCTTCTTATGGACGAAGATATATGTACAAAATTTCAGATCGTTATCTTAAAAACTGGATTAGTTTACGTTTCTACAGCGAAACACGACTTAATCGTCATAGCACTTCTTGTTGATAATTTATATATAAATATATGTCATAAAATGACGCTTGTTTCTTATAGTAACTATAGTAAAACAAGGTTGGCATATCGACGCAAAGTTCTCGCAAAATAATATGTTCTTTCGTCATCTCTAACTCTACAATGCTTCAGCTAAAAATACACGGTAGTGATAAAAATCGCTGTGCTTCACTCTTCTTAATGCAATCACAAGACGCCGCTGACTTGGCGCCTTTCCAAGTTGGACCTTCAACGTTTACTTTGCCTCACTTGACGCAAGTGTCGCTGCACGTCCACATTGACAAACAAATTGCCAGCGGATAAATTCATTTACCAAGCTTAAAGGCGCCCATCGCCCATACGCCTTTCCCGTTGCTCATGCTGCGCATTTTTATACTCTCGCAACAAAGTTGCTAAAGAGAGTATTATAGTTTTGTTCACATAACGGTTGTTTGTAAGTCCTAAAACTAAATGAGTTAGATATAGGGTTAAATATACCAAAGTGATCAGGGTGACGAGTAGAGTTGAAATCCGGATGTCTGTCTGGCCGTCCGTCCGTCTGTCCGCCCGTCCGTGCAAGCTGTAA